ATAACGAGTAGGGAGTAGCGAGTAGTGAGTAGGGAGTAGGGAGTAGGGATTAAGGAGTAGTGAGCAGTGAGTAGTAAGAAGTGGGTGGCGAATAGTGGGCAGTGAGTAGCGACTGGTGAGTCGTTGGTAGTGGGTAGTGTGTAGTGACTAGTGACCAGTGAATTGTGACTAGTGACTAGAGACTATGTAGTGACTAGTGTAGGTCGTAGTAAATACTAAGTAGTGAGTAGTGAGTAGCGGGGAGTGAGTAGTGAGTATTGAGTAGCGAGTCTGGGAGTAGCGAGTAGTGAGTACTGAGTACTGTGTAGTCAGTATTGTGTCGGGAGTAGTGGGTAGCGAGTAGCGAGTAGTGGGTAGTGAGTAGTGATGTGTGGGCAGCGAGTAGTTGGTAGTGAGTAGTGAGTAGTGGGTCGTGGGTGGTGGGTAATGAGTAGTGATGAGTGAGTAGTGAGTAGGGAATGGTGAGTAGTGCTTACTGAGACTGAGTAGTGAGTATTGAATAGTGGGTAGTGGGGAGTGAGCAGTGAGTAGTGAGTAGGGAGGAGGGAGTAGTGAGTAGGAAGTAGTGAGTAGCGAGTCGTGGGTGGTGGGTAGTGAGTAGTGGATAGGGAGTAGTGAGTCGTGAGTAGTGAGTAGGGGGTAGTGAGAAGTGAGTGGCGAATAGCGAGTAGTCAGTAGTGGGTAGTGAGTAATGAGTAGTGAGTACTCTTTGGGGCTGGGGTTACTGGTTGGTGTTGGGATTAGGGGTTTGGGTTAGGGTGAGGACTAGGGGTAGGGGTGGCGGGGGTCGGGTTCCGGAGTCAGGGGGCGGCGTGGCGAAAAGGGGGGAGGGGGGGGGGTTCGGACCCCCCCCTCCTTTTTGAAAGGGGGGGAAGGGGGAGGGGGGTCCCCGACGACGGGTCGGGGAAAAAGGGGGGAGGGGGTGGGGGTCTCCCCGACGACGGATCGGGAAGGGGGGGAGGGGGAAAGGGGGGGTTCCCCGACGACGGATCGGGAAGGTGGGGGGGGTCCTAAACCCCCCCCCCCGTGGGGAGATCCAGCGGCGCATCCTCGTTGTTATCGGCAGGCTAGGTGGGGATGTGGGGGTGTTTAATCATAGGAAGTAAGGATGCACCCCCCCGTAGGAGAAAAGGGATTTTGGAAGAGGGAAGAGGAATCTCGTTAGACCACTTGTCGCCCAAAGGGCTGGTGGGATTATTCCAGCACTTCCCCGTGTTGTCCCTCATCTGCGCACATGCCTTGGGCCATGATTTGCGACCTCCTATCTTTGACGTCCCCTTCGTGGATGCCCTCGACGCCTGTGGGAAAAGAAGTGGGGCACTGCCTGGCCCCTCGCCCGCAGTGGCTGGAGCGCTGCCCCCTCGTGCAGAGCTGGATGCCCGTCGCGGTGTGGCATCCTAAGCCGTTCTTTTGTCGTTTTGGGTAGGCGGTACTGGCACACGTCTCCGCTCAGGGGGATCGGGAGCAAGGGGGGGATAGGCTCAGAGGAGAGCGCGTCGATCCCCAATCGCCCGCACATCGCCGGCAGGGGCCCGCCAGCCCGACCCAACGCTGGGGTGTACGGACTCGATGGTCGGGGGCCCATTTTCTATCGGAGGTGTTTTTGTCCGCCGATTTCTGCTCGATGCTTCCCCCTCTTGAGCTGGTTCCCCCCCCGTCCTTCCCCCCTGGGGGGCGGAGCCCGCGAGTGACCCGTGGTGCGCGGCTCAGTGTTTTCGGACGTATTCGTCGCTTCTTTGAGGTTTTCCCGCCTCGGGATGCGTTCCAGCAGATGCGCCTCGCCGAGAGCGCATCTTGGGTGCTCCAACAGTGCCGAAGAGGCCGCCAGAGAACCGAGTGAGTTATGCATTGAAATCAGACGTAAGAGTGACCCTTCGTTGGAGTGACCTCTGGTGCGCGCGGTACGGGGGGGGGGAGGTAGCCCAAGGTGGGGCTAGGGAGCGAACCCACCTGGAGGCTGATATGTTCCTTCCTCCGGGGGGCCGTCAAGGGCGAGTTCCTTCTGGCCCTACCTCTGGGCCTGCCCCACCTTTGCGTCTCCCCGATTGGGTCCCTGAAGGATGGGGCCCTCCTCGTTGAGGACAAGCGAGCGACGCAAAACAAGGAGTTCGTCTTCACCGTCCTTCGCGCGCGTACTTTGCCCGCTTCAGGTCGCGCGAGAGTGCCCTCGTCTCCCTTGTGGCCTGCCGCACTGGTGGCCTGCGTAAGCAAGGGCTCCCCCGAGGGCGCGAAGTTATTCGCGCTTCGCGCTTCGCGGTCCTCGTTTCTCCTCCCCCTCCTCCTCGTCCTCCTTTTCTCCCTTTGGGGGGGCGGCGCGAGAGCGCGAAGTTATTCGCGCTTCGCGCTTCGCGGAGCGCGAAGCGCGAAGTTGGGAGCCCTAGGTAAGCCACCGCGTAAGGTCGCTTTGTTTTCTCGCGTGAGATCCAGTTTGATCGTCGCTCAAGTGGGGCCCGCTTTGGCGCATCTTGGGCCGTGCCAGGGCGATCTCTGGGGCCTCTTGGGTCGTCTTGGAGCTTTGGAATACCAAAATGGTGAGAACGTCAGCACACACACCACATGGCCTTCGGCCCATCCCGCCACCGTGCCTGGGCTGAGGTCCAGAGGCCTCTTGGATGCATGTGAGGGTCTGCTGGGATGCCTCTCGGGAACTCTTGGAGGTGTCTTGGGGCTTATGGTGGGCCTCTCGGAGGCTTCTTGGGGCGTCTTGGGGCCTCTTGGTGGGGGCTCGGAGGCCTCTGGGAAGCTCTGAGGGCCATCTTGGGGCGGACGGCTCGAAAAGTCCGTCCGTGTTCCTCACTTGGGCCTCTCTGGCCAAGTTGGGGCCCAAGTGGGTGCCAGGCAGCCTTGGGGTCGTCTTGGGGCTCTCTTGGGGCGTCTTGGAGCCCTCCGGGGGTGCCTCATGGGCAGTCGTGGGGCGCTATCAGGAGCTTCTTGGGCCGTCTTAGGGCGTTACAAGCTGAAACAAGGCGAGAAGGTTAATCTATCGCAAAAAAGTACAGGACAATCATTGTTTTTGGCATCTTAGGGCCATTTTGAGGGTGCTCTTGGTGCCCCCGTGGAGCTTAGGGGCCTCTTTGGCCGTCTTTGGGCCATCTTGAGTGTCTGGAGGCGATCTTGAGGCGATTCGAGTCTCTCTTGGGCCGTCTGTGCGGCTTCCTCTGTCCCTGTGTGCCCGTCTTGGGACCTTCCTGGCGTCCAGAAGACGCACGCGACACACCCCAAGAGGTACTGGAAATTTCTGGGAGTGCGTCTGGGTCTTTCTAGGAGGCCTGGCTGCAGCAGCAGCAGCAGTACAGCTGTGAGCTTTGGGGCGCTCCACTTCGTGCCAAGGGTACGGTCGCAGATTTCAGCAACGTTTTAGGGGATCCATGAATTTTCCATTTTGGGGCCCCCTTGGGGGTCCTTTGTGAGCCCTCTTGGGCCGTCTTGGGAGCCTATTGGGTCGTCTCGAGGCTGTCTCGGGCGTCTTCGAGCGCTCTTCGGCCGTCTCGGGGGCCTCCTGGACCGTCTTGAGGTCCTCTTGTGATCCCTTGGGCCTGTCTCGGGGGCCCCTGTCCGCAGGAACGGCGCGACCCCCCACCCCTCCGGAGTCCTGCAGTACGCCGCGGGTGAGCGCCCCAGAGCGCCTCCGGAGCTCGGGGCCGCGGGGACCATATCAACGGCGGAAGGGAAGCCCCGACGCGGCACCGCCGACGGCGGCCCTCGCGGGCATCTCCGCCCTCGATGACAGCACTCCCTGGACGAGGGCACCCCCAGCGGCGATTCTCTTGGGCTTCTGACCGAAGTTGGCGCCCCGGCCCCCGACGACGGCACTCGCGGGCATGCCCAGCGGGGGGGATGGCCGAGACCGCAGGTGGGGGCGAGATTTCGCCGGCCCTGCGGGCTGGCACCCTGTGCGGGCAGTTCCCCCAGAAGGTAGCTCTCGGTCGTGGCATCCCTTCGACAAGTCTGCCTTGCAAATGTCGTGGCCTTCAGGTGTTTTGTGTGTGTGTGTGTGTGTGTGTGTGTGTGTGTGTGTGTGTGTGTGTGTTTAAGTCATCTCGCTTCCGGCGCGCTCTTCCTTCTCCCGCTGCCGCCGTGCCCAACTCGGCCACGTGTATCCCACGTGTGCCTTTGAACTTGGCGAGGACGCTTGCCGCGGCGACAACAAATATTTCTGCCATATCCCTCGCGTTTCTGTCCGTTTTGCCTGCGTTTCCCGTCCTGTCTTGTCACTCGCCCCTTGCGGTCTCGTCTTTGCCGCCGCCGCTACGCCTCCCTTTGTCCGCCCGCACTGAAGGTGCGTTCCGTCTCCCCCTCGTCCTTCTCCCGCGTCTTCCCCCCGCATCCCGGCCCAAGGGTTTGCGTATGACACGGGTGATCCCCGGCCGCGCGCGTTCCCTAGTTTCCGCTCTCCGACCACCTTCGCTTCGACGCTGTGCGCGAACCCGCGACGACAAAGTGTCGTTTGGGATCGAGTGAAGGCTCCCCCCAGATTCGATTACAAGTGCCCCTGGGCGCCATTGAGGGACTCACCCATCGCTCTTAGCTCGAGAGTCGAGTCGTTTTCCAACGCCTTCCTGTCAACGCCAGCGTCAACCTGTCCCCGCCCGTGCCCCAGGGGCCTGGTTTTTGCGGCGGGTGGCATGTACCGACTGGGTCGCGCGGCTTGTTTGCCCGCGACGGGCGTCGATTTGGGGCTGTCGGGGTTGTGGGTGTGGGGTGTGCCCAGCCCACGCTTATTACCAAACGCAGAGTACGTAATGCTTCTACCCACTTTTTTTCTGAACGATGGTTGAGTCGGGCATGTCCGTCCACAGGAAGAATATCCAAACATAGTCGGAACATATTACGGGGATGATTGTTTGGTTCGACTTGACTAGTTCTGAGCATTTTTGAAGATGTTTTATTTCTCGTCCAGAATCCGCCTGCAGGAGGACATGCCCGCCCTAGTTCGACCCGCTTCTTCCGATGGATGGGCAGGGCACGGTGCCTCCCCCCCGCTGGCCGACGCCGGCGAGGACGCGCCCCTGGAGGTGGGCAGGACGTGCAGGAGGCTCAACGAGAAGAAGCTCCTCCTCAGCGCGGACGTGACGCGCCTAGCCTTGTGGAGGACCATCAATGGAGAGGAGTCGGAGGTGGACAGAGCCCCCAACAGTGACACGTCGATTAGCGAATTGTCCGTTTTCGGTTCTCGAGAGGGCGCCGTGGCCGTCATTTTCCAGGCTTGCGCCCGCCAGGTTTGGGCCTCAGGTTGTTTTCACTAAGCCACGTTTTACTAAAGGGGGTCTGTCCATCCCCAAAGGAGGCATGTTGCCAAATAGTTCCCGGATGTCTAGAACATGTCTTAAACATTTCTTAAACATGATCTAAACATGTGCAAGACATGTTTAGGACATTTTTCTAACATTTTAAACACAATTACAACTCAATGATCGGACTGTTAGGGTGTCCATGGCCGTGACATCCACAAGCCTAGCCGTGGGACGGCTTGGACGGCCTTTTTGGAAAAGTCATATGATCACAAACATGGATCAAGGAGGCGTGGATTTGCGACGGGTCCCGTTTCCATTGGAAATCCCGCAGTTCCGCCGCCGAGGGAGGCGGCACCGTTCGCACTTTCGGGAGGGCACCTCCCTCGATCCATAGAAAAGGCGACCGTGCGCTAGATCCATGGTTCGCTAATCCATGTTTGCGCGCCCCCGACGAAGGGCCCTCGTCGGTCGATCTGTGCCGAGGACAGTCAGCTGGGCGGAGGGAGATGAGGAGGCGGACGAGGATGACAGGGGAAGCAGGGGGACTGGTGGCACTGCTGACGATGATGAGGGCGATGATGGCGATGATAAGTTTGATGGTGACTATGCTGAGGATTATGATGAGGAGAATGAGGATGAAGGGGGGGTCGATGATGACGATGATGGTGTTGTTCATGCTGGTAGCATGGTGCTGCTGATGCTCAAGCGTGTGATGGTTATGCTGGTGTTGGTGATGACGATACTGCTGATGTTGATGTTACTGTTGAGGTTGATGCTGTTGATGATGACAACTATGATGCTTAATGGTGATGGTGATGGTGATGGTGATCATGATGATGTTGATGATGCTGCTGATGATGATGATGTTACTGGTAATGCAGATGGCCATGATGATGACGACTGTGATTATTGCGGTGGTGATGCGGATGCGGATGCGGATGGTGATGGGGATGGCGATGGCGATGGCGATGGTGATGGTAATTGTGGTGCTGACGATGATGATGAAGATGAAAAGATGATGATGGTGATGATGACGATGACGATGGTGATGATGATGCTGCTGATGATGCTGCTGATACTGATGCTGACGCTGATGCTGATGCTGATGCTGATGCTGCTGATGATGATGATGATGATGTTGATGCTGTTGTCAATGATGATGCTGTTGTTGATGATGGTGATGATGATGGTGATGATGCGGAGGAGGAGGACGAGGACGAGGCGGAAGAGGAGGAGAAGGAGGAGGACGAGGACGAGGAGGAGGAGGAGGAGGAGGGAGGACGTGGAGGATATTCCGGACAACTGTCTGCTTCGGCCGCGCAGACCTCCTACCGTGCCGCGCAGCGAGCCGCGATCGGCGCGCGCGCCGCGGCGGCGGCGGAGCGCCCCAGGGCCTGCCGGACCTCGGCCTCGGCGAGGTGCTCTCTGACGACGCGCTCTGGAGCCCTGGGGGGACCCCCTCTCGGGGGGCGCGTCATCGCTCCTCCTCCTCCTCCTCCTCCTCCTCCTCCTCCTCCTCCTCCTACCCACTCAAATTGGATGCGCTGTCGCTGTTTGGTTCAGCGCCGGCGCGTTCAAGCGCACATCTCATGGAAGGAAGCAAGCTTCGCTATCATGGACATAGCTGCCAGGTTAAAATTCCTCGGTTCCACCAGCCCCCCTAATTCTTATTGGTAGCGGAGTTGGGAACGATTCCAGCCTTTGATCCACGGGACACTCCGCATTGGTACCGCGGCCCATTCCCTGAACAGCTTGTGCTAAAGGCTGCGCACCTCGAACGACGCACTGTTGTTTTCATTAGCCTGTTTCACTACCCGCAGCACCGACTTACGGCTCAAACGTCACAACAGTTGTCCCGAGTCTCGAGCTGGCGTTCGTCCCCGTCAAGCTCCGACTTCCAGGGCGCTCGCGCAGCTCATATGGCGGTTGAGTTCCATTGCGGAGGACCTCCATCTTGGCGTTGTGGGGCAGCATCGGCATCCCCTCCATGACCGCCCTGCTCTGGTTCACCAGTGCTGCCTGGAGGAACCGGACACCGTGGTGGAGCAGGCGCAGGCAGAAGCGTCTTCAGCAATCGCCAACCACCTGTCTGGTCGCCTGAACGCGAGTCTGTCTACCCGTTTCGTCATTGGGTACAAGACGTAGTCGTTTGGAGCGTACTTGCAATTCGTACGGAGAGTGGCCAGCAGTGCGCCGCCATTATCGTCAGCAAACGCGCTTGCTGAATCGAACTACCCCGCCACTTGGTGGCGCCACTCGCGAACCAATTTGTTCTATGAGCTTCACGGATATGGCCCAAGGAGGCCTGGTCAACGGCCAACCTGATTGCGAAGCCACCCAGTCCGGGCCCTTCGGCGAGTAGTCACGATTACAGGCCACTCGGGGACTCTTCGAATTTACGATGCGGCGCAACGAGGCCATCGATGGATTGGTCTCGCGTTTTCTGCGTCGCGCAACTGTGGAGCTGCGCTGTTATGAGCAGGCTACACTTGGATGCTCCCCCGAGCGGTTGACTTCACCACCAGAGCCACGACAACCGATGCCCAGCAACAGAGCTTGACTTGAACAGTCTCGTGGGGCATCCTGGAGCCTGCTCCCATCGTGGATCATGAGCTGCTCCCATCGTGGAGCATGCTCCCATCGTGGAGCATGCTCCACGATGGGTTGAACATTCACGAGCTGCTCACATCGTGGCGCATACTCCCAACTGTATCACCAGCGCCTTCCGTGCACCGCTATCCTTCGGAGGTTTCCGTAGCCACGACCAACGATAACAGTCAACAAACAACCAATGCAACATCATGGCGAGCACGCGTCGTACCCTTCGCATGAACGAGGGCTTGTCACTTGAGCAGCTAGCGCTGCCGGCCTGCCAGGTGTCGGAGGTGCCCCTGTTCGCCGGAAAAGCTCTCAGTCGATCGCCTCGCCGCTGCAGGCCGCCTTCCCGGCCTCCGCGTGGCAGCTCGCTGGTTGGAGCTCTACATTACCTCGCGTACCTCAGCGCCACCAGCTCAGACGCCAGTTCAGTCCTTGCAACAGCCATCTAGTGGCATTGGCCCATCCCGCCACCGTGGTTGGGTTGTGGGTGGATTCTTGGATGTTCGTTTGGATACCGTGGGAGGCATTCCGGGGGCCTCCTGGAGGCAGTTTTGAGGCCTCTTGGCGGCCGTTTGGGGGCCGTTTGGGGGTGTTTTTTGCTGTGTCTTGGGGGCCTCTGGGGAGGCCTCTTGGTCTTTCGCGGGGGCCCCGTGGGTTTTCTTGGAGGCCTCTTGGGCGCCGGCCTTGACTTGGCCATTTTTTCTCCGCGCAGCCGCTGGTTCCATCTGCGTCGCGCCCGCACCTGGGCCGCCGCGAGTCTCGACGCTTCCCTGGCGATGGACATCGAGGCCCATACTCGAGGCGACCTAACGCTGACGCCGTGTTCCCAATGTCCAACGTGTCGGCGGCAACTCGCCGCGATGGGGCGCCCATGCGCGTTGCTGCCGCGCCGCGTCCGGCGCGGCCCACAGAGGACGAGCTAGCGACGCCCTGGGAGCCCAGCCACAGGAGATCGCAATCAGGGCGCCGCTGGCATCGACCCGGGGACAGCCGCCCCCCACGGGGTTCGCCAGCATGAGACGGGACCGGGATGCCAAATATATCTGGTGGCCCGCCGACGACCGCGCCAGTGGGCGCTGCCCAGGCATCCCAAATCCGCATCGAGCTCCCGGCTGGACAGCTCAGCGCGATCGTCGACCCCGGTGCGCGGGCCAATCTCGTCGGGGAAGCGGTGGCACGCGGGCTGCGTCGCCGAGCCGTCGAAGCTGGGCACCGACCGCAGCAGGTCTTCGATTTTTGAGCATCCATGGCGCACGCGATGGCGCTCGGGATCGTGCGCGTCAGGTGGGCGCTCCGCTGCCGCCGCGGATAATCAGGGTCGCGCCGCCTCTCGTAGTTTCGCGGCCCCCATCGCAGTTTCGCGGCACTCGGCTCAGGCCGTGAGCTGCCTGGACTGCTGGGATCACGCAGCATGGAGAGCGCGCGGGCAGTCCTGGACATGGTTAGGCACGGACTTGCACCGCCAGGAGGCGGCGACATCCAGACGACGTAGCCTCCCGGCACCGTCCGCGTCCCTTTGCTGACAGCACCCAGCGGGCACCAAGCCGTGGTGGTCGACGACGTCGAGCGAGCCGTTCGAGCCCCGGGAGGTGCGCCGAGCGGCGGAGCTACCGCGCAGCTGCGCGCCCGCACGGACGAGACTGGGGCAGAGACGGAGACCACTGCGCATGCAGCCGCGGCTGCCTCCACCACGGGGGCGGAGCTGCGTTCGATGTTCGGCCCCCAGCGAGGCGCCGCCTTGGCTCGGGCCGCCCCGGCGCGGCCAGCCAGGGGGCGATCGTCTACGTACAAGCTTGCGTGATCGAGCTACGGCTATTCTTAACGTGGGCTCTTGAGCAGCGCATTTGGCAGACGCGTTGCTCTGATTTCCCCTCAGGTCCTTCACTGGTCCTCGGCGATGCTGGTCGACCTGCCAGCGGATTGGTCTGGGCCATGATGTCGCCTAACTACGCCGACGCAGACGCGAGCGCGATCGCGCATGTGGCCGCGTTCGTCAAGTACTGCTGGCGCGCAGGAGGAACGTAGCCAGCGCAGCGGTGGGTCTTGCCAAACGACTTTAAATCCACCGTTGCGTTGGTCACGGCGCCATTTGCAGGCGCGAGATTGGTCGCAGTCAGACTCTGCCGGCTGGGACTTTCACCAGTAGGCCGCTTCAAGTCACGAACCAAGATGGCCGTCCAGATCGCCGCGACGCTCGCACAAGGCGGTGGCCAGGAGTGCACATGCCAGCCAGCTAGAGCATTCTATGCGTATCTCCGGCGCGACGGTGCGAGAGACCAATTTCGAGCGCCGTGCACGCAGGGCCGAGTTCATGCTGCCTCTCCACTTGCAAGTGGTAAGTCGCGCTGGATATGTTAGATCAGAGTTCGCTGCTCAGTCCAAGTTTATGGACGTCGCCCCCGTCGGACGGTTCCGCCGATGTAATTGGCGCGGAGGCTTCGGCTGCCTTGTCGAGCACGCACTCTCACTCACACTCACACTCGCGCGCTTTTTGGCGTCGCGACCGCGCGCTCGGCGACGCGGCGGAAGCGAGCGAGAGCGGGCGGGGCGGGACCCAAGAGCGCGCCGTCGCGCCGCCGCGCAGCAGCCCCTTGCGAGGCGCACGGGGCTCGCCCACAGGGGGCCGCGCCATGCGGGTACCCGCGGATGGGGCAGCCGCAGGTGGGAGGACGGCGTGCTGCCTACGCGCGGCAGGGGGGGGGGAACTGCCCTCCCTCGATTGTGCGTGCAAGCGTCATCGGGCAGGCGACTCGGCATGCCCTCAGCCTGCGCTCGCGGGGTGCGCGCGGGCAAGCCGTCGGCCCCTCGCGGGGCGGTGGCGGGGCAGCAGCCGGGCCGGCGAGTCCGGGGCGGCGCGGGGGGCAAACCGCACAGACGCTTTTCCCTTCCAACTTGGAGCTCGGGTCCAGGGGCCGACCCCCAAAGCGTTTTTTTTTTTTTTGATTTCGTGGGCCGTTTTCCCAGTTTCGTGTTCTAGCAGGGGCGGATTGCAGACAAGACGATGGAAAACGTTAAGCAATACGAAAACGAGCACAACACGCAACAGCAGACAGCACGAGCAGTTCTCCCGCGCTGCCTCCGAGGAGCGGGCCCTCCGCCGAGAGCGCGGCGCCTCTGCTGCTGGCGGGCCACCCGGTGGAGTCGCTCTTCCTGGCGGTGGCGGGGCGGCTGAAGTCAGGCGCGCCCCCTTTCATTTCGATGCTCGTTTTCGCAAGCAGTGGCGGAGCGTCCTGGCTGGCCTTTTGGCCTTCCGAAGAATGTTCGAAAAATATCTTCTGGTTTGCAGGAAATGCCCTCAGAGTCTTTCTGGCTGGGACTGGCCTGTTTTAGCACGTCGGGTTGATGCTCTAAGATCATCCTTTTCTTTTCTGACGAAATTTGGGTTTGGGAACATTTCGTGGAAGGCTTATGGGAATGCCGGGACGGTCGGTCCCTGCTCAATCCATTTCGATGCTCGTTCTCGGGACCTGCCTCCGCCGCCGCCGCCGCCGCCGCTGTTGTTCGATCTTCGTCGTCGTCTCCGTTTTCGTCGGAGCGCGTCGTTGTCGCTTTCGTCGAAATTCGTCGTTTTCGTCGTCGTCGTCGTCTTCGTCGTCGTCGATAGCGTCGTCGTCGTTGGCGTCGACGTCGTTGTCATCAGCGTTGTGGGAGGAGGAAGACGAGGAGGACGAGGAGGACGAGGATGAGAAGGAGAAGTACGACGAGGAGTCAGTTAGGCAGGCGTCCTGCCGAAGAGGACTGCGTGTTGGGCCCGCGGGGCTCGGGCCTTCTGGAAGAGGATTGCAGGGCCAAGGGGGCGCGTTCGCGACGCCCACCCAGGGAAAGGACCGGCTGGCTCGTGCGGGGAGACCAGACAGGGCTGCAGGCGACCCGTCCTCCTCCTCCTCCTCCTTCTCCTCCTCCTCCCTCCTCCTCCTCCTCCTCCTCCTCCACCTTCCTCCTCCTCCTCCTCCTCTTCCTCCTCCTCCTCTTCCTCCTCGTCCTCTCCTCGGGTCGCCTGCGGCCTGGGGGGAAACCTTGCCAACAGGGGGATGGCGGGGGGCAGCGGACCGCGGCTACCCAGCCCGCGTCTGCTCACCTCCGAGCCCTGGCCTGCGCAGAGGAACCGCACCTTTGCCCGGCAAGCGAGCGCAGGTGAGATGGGGGAGAGGCCTGGGGAGAGGCCTCTTGCGGGGACCTTTCAGGTAAAGAAGTCGAGCGTGTCCCTCTGCAGGAGGAATATTCGACAAGAGTAAAAAACTAGTCTGGGGACGATCTTTCTATTTGTGTTTTGACAATGTTGGTGTGTTTTCTGACAATTTCCCTTTTTCGTTAGAATCCGCCTGTCGGGGGACCTGCCCGACCTGAGGCAAGGACCCCCTTCCCTACTCCCGGCCGCTTTTTGCCGACGCAAAACGCAGCTGCGGGACCTATAGGAGAGCGGAGGCGGTGATGGTCACTCCTGGAGGCGAGGTTTGTTTCCCGCGGCCTTGCCCAGAAAGCTGCCTCTTCCTGCTCGAGGAAAGCGCCAGCTCAGCCGCCTCCGCGATGAGTATGGTTGTGGTGGTGGTGGTGGCGCTGGGGTGGTGGTAGTGGATGTTGGCGGTGCTGGTGATGCTGATGGTGATGCTGAGGACGAGGAGGATGATGAGGAGAAGAAGGATGATGAGGAGGAGGAGGAGGAGCAGGAGAAGAAGAAGGAGGAACGGGAGAAGGAGGAGCAGAGGATGACGATGATACTGCCGCTGATGATGATTGCGGTGGTTGGTGGCGGTGGTGGTGGTGAAGGTGGTGGTGGTCAGGATGATGCTGATGATGCTGATGCTGATGATGCTTATGATGATGATGATGATGATGATGATGATGATGATGATGATGATGATGATGATGATGATGATGATGATGATGATGATGATACTGATTATGATGATGATGATGGTGGTGGTGATGATGATGCTGATGATGATGCTGCTGATGATGATGATGACGGAGGTGGTGGTGATGATGATAGTGATGATAATGATGTTGGTGATGGTGATGGTGTTCATGATGAGGATGATGATGATGAGGAGGAGCATCAACGACGATTGAACACTCCCTTCCTCCAAGCTCCCTCTCGACAGGCTACACAAGGTTCATTTCCACTGGGGGAAGTGCCCGTTGTTGGTCAACCGTTTGAAAATCCTGAGGCTTGCCAGAACACCGTTCTCAGGACTCCAACGCCATGAGTCAACTTGATTGTTGCGTCTCGACGACCCTGAATCGTGCCAGAGCGCCTCCCTAGAACTCCAACACCGCGAATCAACGTAACTTTTGCGCCCTGACAATCCTGAATCGTTCCAAAACGCCATTTCTGGGACGCTAGCCATAAGAATCCGTGAAACGTCCCGCACCAAAGTAATCCGTGAAACTCTTGCAAATCTTTACAGCGAGTGTGCTCGGCGCTAGCGCGAAGGCCACATTTTGAAAACGGCATGTCCTCAACCCGCGCAAATGTGCGCGGCGTGCAGGCGATAGCCACATTCTGAAAGCGACCCGCCCTTGATTTGTGAAACTGTGTCCTCAATTGTTAAACATCAGGCTCATACATGGTTCGGAGGTCTCAGGCGAAAGGCCCGGCCCGCCCTTTCGTCTGGCCTCGGGGTGCGGCAGGGAGGAGTCATTCAGAAGGAGCGGGGGTGGAGGAGCAGGAGGAGAACGGGGAGGAGGAGTTGGCGGGGGGAGAAGGAGAACGAGGAGGAGGAAGAGGAGGAGGAGGACCAGATGGCAGTTCCGGGAACAAAAACTCCAGCCGGGATCCACCGCGGAGGGCGCGCCACGCTCGAGGGAAGAGGATGAGAAGGAGGAGGGCGAGGAGGAGGAGGAGGAGGAAGAGGAGAAGAAAAAGCTGTCGCTCCTCGCGCACTTGTGTCTGCTTCCCTGCCGGGTTTCGGCCGGGCCGTGCGTTGGCCGAAGCCCGTCAGCAGGCGGCCGCTTCGAGGTCCAGCGCGCGGGCTTCAGCGGCGCGTGGCTGGAGTTTGAGGATCTGTTCGTTGCCGCCAGGCGACTGCAGGAGGGGCGAGGAGAACTGGTTGATAAGAAGGTTCGGGGGGGATGGTCGAGGAGAAGGGTCGAGGCGGAGGATCGAGGAGCAGGGTCGAGGATGGGAGTCGAGAGTGATCGGTTTGGGTCATCGAGGGGGAGGTCCCAGGGAGAGGATCGATGAGGAGGAGGCGGTGGATCGAGGATGAGGAGGACTGAGTGAGGATGAGGATCGATCTAGTGCGTCGTTGCCGTGGTCGTCACTGTCGTGGTCGTCTTCGTCGTCGTCGTCGTCCATGTCGTGCATGTCGTTCTTTCGCAATCGTCGTCGTCGGAAACGTTGTCGGCTCCGTCCTTGATGTCGACGCCACGCTTTGGCGTACCTGTCGTATTCGTCTTCGTATCTTGCCGTCGTTGTTGTCATTGCCGTCGGTGCCTGCGTCGTCCCGTCGTAGTCGTGGTCGTCATGTTTCGTCGTCCTCGTTGTCGTCGGCGTCTTCTTCGTCGTGTCAGTCGTGATGTTCTTCTTTGTACAACTGTTAATGGCTCCTAGGTGTTTTTGTTCCGTATGTATTGCATTCCTGTGCTATCATCCTTCTTTGTTGCTGTCGCCGTTTCCCCTCTTGGACGGGGGCCACGGTCAAGACTTTCACAAATTGTGAGAGCGGTCCGCCTTCCCCTCCCGCGGGGCACTTCACAGCGATCCGTGGGCAGCCCGTCGACGATTGTCCCAAGAGTTTTGACGCGCCGCCGTCGTCGTCTTCCTCGTCGTCGTCACCGATCGGATCGCAGGGGGTTCCCGATGCGTGGGATGTAGGGCCGGAGAGGGATTTCGTGACCGCCTCGTTCGCGGTGAGGGGCTGAGGAGCAATGGTGAGGGGGAGGAGGAGAGGGGTTAGGATTGATGGGGATGAGGACGCCGAGCGTCTGGCGGTGCGTACCCGCTAACGTTCACGCAAAGTGACTAGCGTCTGGCGGTGCGTACCAAGATCTAATTGTGATCAGCGAAGGCAGCGTTCCGAGCTTTTTCGAACGATGCTTCTAAACCAGCTTTTGGTTACACAACTGATGTCCGAAGCACCAGGGGATGTGCCACATATCATTGCTCATCCGTGTATTGATACATCTGCCATAGTGCACACTGCGTCACGTATATCGCAGATGCTGCTCCACGACCTGCAGACGCATAATGTGCACATTGCGTCGCGTATCTCGCAGATGATCGTCCTTAGCAACATACGTTCGCATTTTGCGTCTTCCCTTCATCCTCTTCGTCCTCGCCGCTCCTCTCTGCCTCGTGGCGGCCCCCGCTAATGTGCAATTCCTTGTCCTCGCCCTCTTGCTTCCTTCTCACTCCCTCCTCCCTCCACCCGTGGAACCCCTCCCGAATTCTAACCCCTCGTCCGTCATCCATTCTTTCATCCACTAGTCATCCCTCCCTCCTTCCAGCTCCCTCCGTCCTTCTCCCCCTCCCAGTCCCTCCCTCCGTCCCTCCACAATCCCTCGGCCTCTCCCCCTCCCCCTCAGTCATTTTCCCCCTCGCTCCCATTCCCCGTGCTCCGCCCGCAGTCACCACCCTGCCTCCGCCAGCCTGTTCTCCCCCTGCTCCCGGACTCCCGTCCCCTCTTCCTCCCACGCGCTCCTCCTCTTGTCCCTCCCGCCTCTCCTCCGATACTCCATTCCATCCCGCCTCTCTCCCCTCGCTCCTGCTCGGCTCCCTTCTGTTTCCCACTTTTCCCTCCCCCCCTCTCCTTTCCTCCTACACTCCTACACTTACTGATTGTCCTGGTCATCCTTCCTCCCTCGTCCTGTTCTTATTCGTCTTGCCACTGCAATCCTCTTCCTCCTCATCCTCCTCATCCTCCTCTTTCTCCTCTGTTGCTCCCACTTCCTTTCCCTCACCCTAGTCCACCCCCTTCACCCCGCAAACGAACGCGGGGGCGGAGGAGGGGAGGAGGGAGGTGGCAGAGGAATGTCGGCGGGAGGAGAAGGATGAGGACGAGTGATGAGGGGCGAGTAGCTAAGGGGAGCAGGAGGAAGCAGGAGGTCGGAGGAGGAGGAGGAGGAGGAGGAGGAGGAGGAGGAGGAGGGAGGGGGATGAGGGAGACGGGTGGAGAAGGAGGAGGATGCGGAGGAGGAAGAGGAGGAGGAGGATGAGGAGGAGGAGGAGGAGGAGCACGAGGAGGAGCCGATAGACAACGACGACGACGACGTCGGCTGCAACGACGATGACTATCATTCGGCATATGGCCAGCGGCTCCCGGGGGTCGCTGGAGGCTTCCATGGGCCTCCGAGCATTCCGTGCAGAGGCAAGAACGGGCGAAGACCTCGAGCCTCGAGATCCTCGATCGACGATTATCGGACGGGGCTAGGACGAGGATAAATCCGTTCAAGAGCGTTCTGGAACGCTCTCAGAGCTTTCCGAAATTCTCCGAGAAGGCTGCCGCGCCCGATATGTCCTCCGGAGCCGCCTGACCTCAGAGATTCTCGAGTCACAGTGGGGACGCGCATCAAGAAACCCTCTACTTTTCGTCAGTGTGGGGTTTCTTCGTTCCGCGCGCTGCGCAGTGATTTTCCGTGTCCGTTCAGCATGCTCGGGTTTTTCCTTCAGGTGCATTTCGCGCGTGGGTTTTCAGGGCTGGGCTCCTTCCGAGGGTTTCTCGTGGCCGCGCCCGCACGGTATCCCCACCCGTTGTTGCCTTTGTCCCGGCTTCTTCCTAGACCCGCCGCCGCGCCGTCGCTCTGGACGCCCGAAATGGGTATTGAAAGAATGGGTACCATGCCCGACAGCAGTTCCTGTTCACTTTGAACAGGAGTCGCTGTCCACGCCGCCGCGGCCTGTGTCCATCCGAGACAGAAGGCCGCCTGCCCAACAGCGGCCGCTGTTGGCTTGGGACAACATTTGTTGTTGGGCATAGTGCCCATTTTTTCGGTACCCATGTCGGGCGTCCAAAGTCGCCGCCGCCGTCGTCCTCGTCGCCGGCGGCGTCGTACGCGGCGGGCGGCGGGCGACGACGCCGACGCCGGCGCGCCGCCTCCCCAGGGCCAAGCGGCGGCGCCTCCGCAGGGCGGGCGCGCAGAGGTGCCCCGGGGCCGGCGGCGCGCCAGCGACGCCCCCGGGCCAGGCGCGGCCGCGCGCTCTCGCGGCCCTCGCGGGCCTCGCGGGCCTCGAGGAGGAGGAGGAGGCTCGCGCGGTGCAAGCAGTGAGTTGGGCCTGTCCCTCTACAGTCGGGGGCGGAAAAGAGGGGGGTGATGACTAGGGGGGGGGTGGATATCATGGCGGGCGCCATGATGTTTCCCCAGATCTCAGGGCGCCTCTTCTTATTCAATTACGGCCCTGGCCCCCCCGCTGGGCCGCGCACATGCTGCCGGTCATGATTTGCACCCCCCCCTCTTGGACACCCCCCTCTTGGCCGCTCCCGATACAGGATGGATGTTCCGAAAATCGCCAAACAACTAGGCTGGGGACGACGCTTCGAGTAGTTCTTGGCTCTGCTGGGTGAGTTGTTGAGTCTGTTCTTGTATGCTGTTGTCCAAGATCCGCCTGTTGGGGGACAGGCCGGGGCAGGCCGCGCTGTACAAGCGGTGCAGTCCGCGTGGTACAAGCCGCGCTGCGCAGGCTGCGTGGTGCGTCCAGCGCACGATGTCGCGACGAGGCGCCCGCGGGCGGCGACCCGGCGAAGATCGGGAGCCGCCAGCCAGCGCACGGGGCGGCCACGCGCGGCCCATGCCCAGGGTCGTGCCTCGCGCGGCGCGCAGTGCGAAGTCGGGCGACCCTGGGATCTCAAGCAGTGGCGAAGCGTTCTGGCTCGCCTGTAGCCCTACCAAGCAATGTTCTAAGAGCCTTTTGTGGCTCCCACGAAATGTTTCAGAACATGTGTGGGTGAGACTGTCTTGTTTTAACACATGGGTTGTTCCTAGAACATTTTTGAGTTCTAAGAGCATTTCGTGGTAGGACTATAGGAATGCCGGGACGGTCGGTCCCTGCTCAGCGAAGGCGGGCAACCCTAAGATCCCAGCGACTCGAGTTTTTCGAACCGGGCGTTTTCGTTCCTTTTCGGGCCCTGGGACCCTCACAAGTCGATCTGGCTCGATCATTGGATTGACGCAGGTAGTTAGATGGGGTCTAGGGCTTCAGGCGTGATGTTTTACGATGATGTATTTTTGTTCCGCTGCGTCGGATCTCAGGGTCTGACACCTGGCGCCCCCAGAGAGTCCAGACAACTCAAGCAGCGGCGAAGCCCCAGACAGCCGGCTTCTCAAGTTGTTCGGTGCGTGGGCCCTGGAGGTCTGGGCCATTTCCCTCGGGCCGTTTTTTTGCCCCGAGTCGTCTTTTGGCGGTCCCGAGGCTTGGTGAGGGCCCCCGGAGGCCGAACACGGTCGAACACCCGCTGCTTATTTTTTTCTGGAACGTCGAATCTCTGAACCGTCCCGGCTTGCCTATAGGCCAAATGAAGAGTGTTCTAAGAGCCTGCTTTGGTTTGCTCGAAGTGCTCTCAGAACCTTTCTGGCTGAGGACGTTTTTTTTGACAGTACTTGGTGTTCCATGTGTCTCCTCACGTTCCTTTTCCGCGTTCCTCTCTCATTTGCCCAGTTCCTTGTCGTGCGAGCTGTGTTCGTGGTGTTAGAGATCCTCGCGGGCCGTCTTGGGCCCGTTGCAGACACAGCTGATCTGTCGTGGGTTTAGTCTGGCCAAGGGTTCTTTTTGATGGGCCACTGGTGGGCCCGGCTGCGCGTGACGTTTACTGTCACGATTCGTTGTGGAACAGTCGGGCGGTGGTTGAGGACTCTCTGCGTGGGAGGGCTGGCGAACATTGTCATCGAGTTGCAGTGTGCAGTTGGACCGAAGTATGGCATCGAGGTCGGTTCGAGGGTCTCATGTTCTTGAAGAGTGGTCTTCTGGCCTAGTTCCGACTGCGATCATTTGCCGCAGGGTTGCTGGCCAACTTGAAGGCCAAATTTGAAGGCCAGCCTTAAAGACCGACTCGTTCACCGGATTGCTCGAACGGCGAACTCACGGACTGGCTTCGAGTCATTCGGAGGGAATGAGAAAAACCGGCCAAGCAACAGTCTTCGCATTTCTGTATTCGGAAATTGACATTTTCAGCGGATTCGCGTTTTGCTTTTCGAAATGCCCAAGACGGCCCAAGGAGCCTCCCCGATTGCCCCAAGAGGGCCCCAAACGGTTCCAGACGGCCGAAGAGGCGCCCAAGACGGCCAAAGAGGACCCTAAGTGGGGCTCAAGAGGAGCCCACGACAGCCTAAACTGGCCCCAAGGCGGCCCACGAGGCGCCCAAGATGGCCAAAGACGGCCCCGGGACAGTCCACGCAGCGCCCCGCAAGGCTCAATGGGGCCCCGAGAGGCCTCGCTAGGGCCGAAAGAACACCCTAAACGCTCACAAACGGTCCGCTAGAGGTTCAACATTGCTTCCACGAAGAGAGGGCGGACGAGAGGCGATAGGATCCTCGCGGCCGCACAGTAGCAGCTTTGACGCTGAGGTCGCCCTTAGTTTTTTGGGCAACGACGACAACGACGACGGCGGCGGCGACGACGACGCCTTGTCGTTCCGCGGGATTGGGCGGCGAGCAAGAGAGGAGATGTTCTGCAACATGTGCAGCGACATCGTGGCTCGAGCCTCGCATGTTGAACATCCCAAAATCTTTGCTTCGCTGCGATCGTCACTTTGCCGCGACGCCGCTCCGACGCTTCAGACGCGGCCCGACGACGTCGACGACGACGACGGCGGCGGCGGCGGCGGCGGCCGCGACGACGACGACGACGACGACGACGACGACGGCGGTGGTTGCGACGGCGGCGGCGGCGGCCGCGACGGCGACGACGACGACGATGACGACGACGACGACGACGACGACGACGACGACCACGACGACGACGACGACGACGACGACGACGGTGACGGTGGCGGCGGCGGCGGCGGCCGCGACGACGACGACGACGACGACGACGACGGCGGCGGCGGCGGCGGCGGCGGCGGCGGCTGCGACGACGACGACGACGACCACGACCACGACCACGACGACCACGCTGACGTGGGTCAAAGTACTCGGGTCTTTTCGGAGAGCTCTCGGGGGCCTCTGGTAGGTAGTTTTGGTGCCTCTCGGAAACCACTTCGGGGCCTCTCGGGAGCCTCTTGGGGGCCTCTTGGGGCTTCTTGGGGCTGCTTGGGGGCCTCTCGGAGGCCCCTTGGGGCCTCTAGGGGCCTCCATGGAGCCTCCTGGGGCCGAGGACTAGGAATGTCCGTGTTGGTCCCCCTGTTTGGCACCCTATCAGAACCCTCTGGGGTCCATTTGGGGCTTTCTTGGAGGCATCTTGGGCCGTCTTGGGGCGATATTGGGGGCCTGCGTCTTGGAGTGTCAAGACACCGAAATGGCGGGAACGTCAACATCTTACAACACCTACGGAACGTCGATTCAATTTTCCTATTGGGGTCCTCTTGTAAATGTTCTTGGGGGCCTCTTTGGGTGTCTTGGAGGCCTCTTGGGCCGTCTGGAGGTTATAGATTGGGCGTCTTGGATTGATCGTTCGGCGATTTCGACCTTTTTGGACCGTCTTTGGGGCCTCTTGGGGCGCTCCAGGTCCGCCTTGCAACCTTTATGAGCTTTGGGACCGCTCGCGGGGGGACCTCTTCAGGGCCTCCTGGGGCCTCTTCTGGGCCTCTTGGGTGCCTCCTGGAGCTTCTTGGCCTGGCTTGTCTCGGCGACAGTGACAATCCAGAGTGGATGTTTGAGAGGATGGGCGGGAGGGGAAAATCGGCAGATGGTGAGCAGGAGCACGGTGGTCATTATGTGTTTCTGAGGTACTGCTTGTCTTACGGCTGACTTGGTGGCCAGGGGATTTTTGCGGAAGGGGCCCTTTTGACCAACGCGTTGTTGTGCAGGTTGTAGATTCATTCCGCTCGCCTGGCGGTTTCTGCTCGCCGTGGAGTCCACTTTTCTCACACACGTTGGTTGACGACCAGGAGAAAAATTGTTTGTCTGAAGTAGGAGGGGAGCAACTCCCTCGGGTTTACTAGTCAGTTGGAGAACCGAGACCAAATTAACACATCTGCTGCATAGTTCCTTGTATATCACATCTAGCGCGGGCGGCATCTATATTACACCTTCTTGTGAGAGGCACGCGGGGCCAAGGAGCGGCCCAAGTTGCCTCTGGCAGTCGTGGCCGCTGGCAATGTGTCCGCCAGTCCCGACAGTAGCCGCGTGCAGCGGCAGATGGCGTGCGAGTGGGGAGAGGCCGTGCGGAGGACGAGGAGCTGCCGATGCAGTCCGAGAAGGGATGATGCCGTCTGCCGAGCTTTCTCCGCCGCGCTACGGCGATGCTATCACTTGGGGCATGTTCAGCTCGTGCGACCTGCGCTCTTCAGGGTGGCAGTGGAAGAGATGGAGGGGGAGATAGAGGAGGATATTGCGGAGGAGGAGGAGGAGGAAGAGGAGGAGGAGGAGGAGGAGGAGGGGATGGAGGAGGACGAGGAGGAGGAGGAGGAGGAGGAGGAGGAGGAGGGGGAGGAGGAGGACCAGGAGGAGCACGGGGAGGGCGCGGAGGACCGAAGAAGGAGGACGACGAGGGCGCGCAGGAGGGCCTCGAGCTGTCGGAGGGGGGAGGCGTTTCCGCCCGCGCCGCGCGCCCAAGGGCGCCGGCGGCGACGCCTCCGACGACGAGGCGGGGGCCCAGGGCGGGTGGCCGCCGCTCCGCCGGCAGTGTCCCTCGAGCAGTGGCGAGACGTCCCGGCTCGCCTATAGCCCCACCGAACAATGTTCTAAGAGCCTTTTGTGGCTCCCACGAACTGCTCTTAGAACATTTCTGGCTGGGGCTGGCTTGTTTCAGCACATCGGGTTTATGTTCTCAGAACACTGCTTTTTTGTTCTTAGAACCGTTTCTGGGTTCTCAGAAAATGTCGTGGTATGACTAAAGGATTGCCAGGACAGTCGGTCCCTGCTCAAGTCCCCCCGCCGCTCCTGCCGTGCTGAGGATCGGGTACCGACTGGCGTCAAGGTTTTCCAGCACTTGGGCCCCTGGATCCCTCATCCTATCGGGCCAAGCGAAAGGGGGGGGATAGTCGGTATCATTTAACCGATCCCATCCCTATCCCCATCCGCTTCGAGACCCCCACCAAATTACCACCCCCAGTTGGGCATACACCCCTCGAAACCCGAAGGGAACGACCTAAATCCCCATCTGGGGGGGTAAATCGGCTGGGGATGGGGATCGGTTGAACGATACTCAGATAGGGAAAGGGGGGGGCGTCGGAATCTGCTGCGTGCAGCTGGTTTTGGCCCCGCCGCCGGGCCCACTCCTCGATGCTTGGGCGCCTCCCGGCGCCAGGAGGCGTCAGGGAAACCAGCCACGTGAGCTGATTCTCTACCCTGCCCTCTGCTGTCCTGCCCCTTCGTTCCCCCCAATCCTGTCCCTCTTCCTGTCCCTCCTCCGGATCCTCCTCTCCCTCATCTTCTGCGTCCTTCCATCTCTCCTGCTACCTCTGCTCCTGTCCCTCCTCCGCCCATCGCGCCTGGCCCCCGGGGACCATCTGGCATGGGCCTTGTTGTCGTCGTCGTTGTCGTCGTTGACGTCGTCTTCATTCTTCGCCGTCGTCGCTGAGCACCGTGCGGGCGAAAGAGAGGAAGGGCGCGCGGGCGAGCGGGCGAAACGAAACAAGTAAGGAGCAACTGAACCTGGCTGGACCGACGATATCCTTGCGTCGAGCCGTCCTGGCTGGGGGTGATGTGCAGTGGAGACCCATGCCAAGAAATGCCCTGCTTGCCTCCAGGGGGCCCTGGGTTTCCTAATTTTTGAGGGTCCTGCCATGGAAAGCGTGATGCTCCCAGGCCTACAAAAAAGTCCATGGACGCCCTGGTGTCTCGGGATTGGGACTCTTGTGGAAGGCGTCCTGTGGCCTGGCCCTTTGCAGAAGTCTTTGGGGGAGCAGCAGGTGCCGCGGCTGGGCATCAGAGCTCGTGTCTGGCGCCCAGTGTGCAAGTTCTCGGCCATGTGCCCCACCTTCCAGCGCCCAGTGGCTGGCAGCGCCATGGCTCTGGGGCGCTGCGTCAAACGGGGGGGCGACGCATTGAGGGGGCCCTTTCGGGGGTGGACAGACCTCCTTACCCCGACACGACGATCAGTGACTTGTCCGTTTTCGGCTCTCGAGAGGGCGCCGCGGCCGTCATGTCCCAGGCTTGCGCCCGCCAGGTTTGGGCCAGAGGTCGTTTTCACTCAATCAACCACGTTTTGCTGAAGGGAGGTCTGTCCATCCCCGGGCCCTTGAGAGCCCCTGAGAAAGGGGCCCTCCGGGGCCCCCAAGGGGGGGCTTTTGGGCCCGAGACGTGCACCTGCCGCCCCCCCCCCCCCCCATTTTGAACCCCCTATTTTCACCAGCCTCGAACTTATCCCTATCCCTGAGATTGACACGCCAAAAGGCGATGACAAGCTGATGGATCCGCCCACAAAAAAGAAGGGAATCCCCAAGATCGGCATCGTGATGAGGAGATGCCCAGCATAGGGATAGGGATACGTTCCAGGCTGGTAGGCAGTGTCCACCCGCCGCTCCTGCCGTGCTGAGGATCGGGTACCGACTGGCGTCAAGGTTTTCCAGCACCTGGGCACCTGGACCCCTCTCATCCTATCGGGCCAAGCGAAGGGGGGGGGGGATAGTCGGTATCGTTGAACCGATCCCCATCCCCATCCCCATCCGCTTCGAGACCCCCACAAAATTACCACCCCCAGTTGGGCATACACCCCTCGACACCCGAAGGGAACGACGCCCGAGGCTCGGGCCCACGCACGGGGGCGCCTCGCTCCGCGCCGGCCGGCGCAGGAGGAGCCGGGAGGCCCGGGGCCCGCCCGCACAGGGAGCTCCCCGCGGGGCCGTGGCGCCGCCGCCATGCGACGGCGAGCGGCGGCGGGCCCTTCGAGACGGCCTCGGGCCCTCCATCGTTTTTGTTTTGTTTGGTTGCATGTCGGTTGAAGACGATATGCTCAGATTCGGGCGGCGAGATCGTTTTTTTGTCTCCCTCCCTCTCTCTCTCTCCCTCTCTCTCTCTCTCTTTCTCTCTCTCCCTCTCTTTCTTTCTTTTTTTTTTTTTTTTCTCTCTCTCTCTCTCTCTTTCTGTCTCTCTCTCTCTCTCGCTTTGTTTAGTTCTAATACATGTATAATACATGTGTATACATTTACATATTACGTATATATCTAAATATGTATCGCCACTGCTCACTGGCCACACCCGCATTCATATCTACAAATGCATGTATGGATTCTATGTATGTGTACACACATGTGTCCGTCAGGACTTCGCCCCCCGCCGCCGGCCCCCTCGATCATACTGGGATATCTGAGAGTCGTGTCGGCGCGCCTCGGCGCTGTCTTGGCGCATCTGGGAGCATCATGCGGGGGCGGATCGGAATCATCAGCTCATTTATGAGACGTTGGTGCTATCCTCGTGGCCTTCGGCCCATTCCACCACCGTGCCCGGGTTGTGGGTCTGAGGCCTCTCGTATCAGTGTTGGGGTGTCGTGGGGAGCCTCTCGGCTTTCGGCCTCTTGGGGCCCTTTGAGTGGCCTCCAGGGGCCTTCTAGGGGCTTCTCGTGGCGGCACGACTATCGAATATTCGATTTGTGGTCCCCTGCTTGGGCCCCTCTTGGGGCCGTCTTGGGGCCCTCTTTGGCCGTCTTGAGCGCTTCTTGGGCCATATTGGAGCCCTCTTGGGCTGTCTCGGGGCCCTCTTTGAGGCGTCCTGGGCTGTCTTGTGGCGGTCTTGGGAGCTTCTTGAGCTGTCTTGGAGCGTCGGAAGGCCGAAACTGCGAGAGGCCGAAATCCTTCAAAAACCATCGTAAACTTCGGGCGCCTTGGAGCACTCTTGGCCTCGGCAGTGCACATGCGGTCTACTGTGCGAAGGTTTATGGCTTCGGGGACGCGAGTCTTGCGTAATGTACGGGTGTTGGTTGCCTCGGGGACGCAAACATTGCGGAATCTGCAAGGGTTTGTGGCCTCGGGGTTGCGAACATTGTGTAAGTTACTCGGGATTATGGCCTCGGGGCGCGAATCCAATGTATTTTTACGTGTCCCACCCACGCCACCCCAGGAGTTTAGGGAACGCGATCCGTGCGTGATAACCGGCCAGTTTGGGGATCCCCCCTCTCGCGCAGACTTCAACAACTTGCAATGATAAGCAGAAGAGAGGACAGTATTATAGCAGACTTGAAATGGCAATTGGTGCAGGGAGCAGCACACTTGGGCCCTCAGCCTGGTGGTCCCACAAGGGGGCCTGCGGCTTTATAGCCACTGCTCCCTGGCCAGGCCTATCCTTAACCCAGGAGCTGTGTATACGCCCTCCTGGCCAAGCCAGGAGGTCGTGGTGTGTACACCACTGCTGGGTTCAGGATGGAGGGAGCAGAGGATTATGTACAGATTTCGTCGCACTACAAATTCAGAGAAGTCTCTCTGACGAACGAACAACATACACCCATACCCATAGGGGGGGGTCGGAGAGGGCTATGGGTGCGTGTTGTCGGATGGGGCTCCCCGCTCGAGCGGGAGCGTTCCCCGGGGTCCGACAACCCGCACCCATAGCGATAGCCAGTCCTCCTCCCAACGACCCCCCTATGGGTATGGGTGTGTGTTGCTCGTTCGAGCTTCCGCGGAGGAGGAGGAGGAGGAGGAGGAGGAGGAGGAGGAGGAGGAGGAGGAGGAGGAGGAGGAGGAGGAGGAGGAGGAGGAGGAGGAGGAGGAGGAGGAGGAGGAGGAGGAGGAGGAGGAGGAGGAGGAGGAGGAGGAGGAGGAGGAGGAGGAGGAGGAGGAGGAGGAGGAGGAGGAGGAGGAGGAGAGGAGGAGGAGGAGGAGGAGAGGAGGAGGAGGAGGGGGAGGGAGGGAGGGAGGAGGGAGGGAGGGAGGGAGGGAGGGAGGGAGGAGCTGTTTAGGTACGAGCGTTCGACCTTGCGCGTGGATCTCCTGGACCCGCGCCGAGCCCCCCGCCCTGCCGCGCGGAGCGCGCCAGGGGCGGCCCCCCCAAGAATCCCCAGGGAGGCCCCCACGGCCTCCTTGGACAGGACCTCCGAGGATGTCCAAAGATCTCCAAGGCGGCCCCAAGGATTTCCAAGGATATCCAAGGACATCCCAAGGATTTCCAAAGATATCCCAAGGATATCCAAGGATATCCCAAGGATTTCGCCAGGGGCGGCCCCAAGGATTTCCACGGATATCCCAAGGAGGCGCCCAGGGGCGGCCCCAAGGAGCACCCCTCGCGAGGTCCAGGGAGCCCCAGGGGCTCCAACATGGAGCGGAACGCGGGGGGCAGCCTTGGGCCAGGGGCTCCTCTTCGGTGGCGAGCCCGGGCGGGAGTGAGAAGGGGCGGGCCTTGGGCCTTCCCAGAAGTCTCGAAGGCCCCGCGGCCTTCTCTCCGGAGGTAACAAAAACACACAGACACAATCAATCGTCGATTCCCAGGACAATAATTTCGCGAACATCTGGGAAGGGGTGGGAAGACGAGAAATGGACAAATATGGGGCATCCTGGGATCTGCGTGTGCTTCTACTTGTGTGCCCCTGGGCCCCTCCGATCTCAAAAGTTTTTTGGGATCTACTCCGAAGACGCCGAAACAACCTTCCAGCAGGCCGGAGGCACATGCCGCCGGCCACGACTTGCGCCCACCACAGGGCCCAGTGGCCTCCGC